AGAAGTTACTTAACTTCTCTGAGACTCAATTTTCCAACCTACAAAATGGAGATGAGAACATCTGCTCAATTACAGAGACCACGCTCATATTAGATATGATAACACTTCCAAAGCATTTCAATGTGTGGCTGCACTCTAGTCACACAGAAGTTCCACTCCATGTATCAGTGGTGGTATCATTACCATCATCACCATCTTCTTCATTATCATCTACAACAGCAGCATCCTTGTCCTCATTGGAAGAGACATAGCAAGAAGTTGCTCAGGAAAATGTGACTGAAGGGATACTTGTGGAATAAGGCAAGTAGGTTTCACATTGTATTAATTTCCTAGGGCTGCCCTTAAAAAGGTACCACAAACTGGGTGGCTTAAAACAAACAAACAAACAAAAAAACCCACAAAAACAGAAATTCAGCAGGTCATGCTTCCTCCAAAAGCTCTAGAGGATAATCCTTCCTTGCCTCTTCCAGACCCTGCTGGCTCATGGTGTTCCTTGGCTTGTGGAAACACAACCCCAACCTCTGCCTATGTTTTCACACGGCCTTCCTCTCTGGGTGATCAAATCTCCCTCTCCTTTCTCTCATAAAGACACCAGACACTGGATGTAGGGCCGACCATAAATCGAGAATGATTTCATCTCAAGATTCTTAACTGTTTACATATGCCAAGGTCCTATTTACAAATAAGGTCACATTCTGAGGTTCTGGGTGGACATAATTTGGGGGAGGGGTACATTGCTAGCTCAGATGAAATGGTAAAAGCTAACTGGGAACAGGTTTTAAGAATTTTAAGGCTGAATTCAGGATCAGTAGGAAAGAGTACCAGTATCACGAGAAAGGCATAGAAAGCAGATGCACATTTCTCATGTTCTTGTCATCACTAATCACTCACCTATGAAAGAACTGAGACTTATAGATTTGTCAGTGCCCAAGATCACTCAGTGGCAAAGGTGTATGAGAAATAAAACCTCCTGATTCAAAATGCAGTGCTCTTTCCACTACACAGTTTAATAACCTTTATTCACCTCAATACTTTTCTAAAAATTATTAGAAAAAATATAAATATAAGACTGAAAATTGCTGATGCCTTTATACTTATGTTGTTTTAGTCGGTCAGATTAAACACAGTTAAGAACCATTTGGCTGACTTCCATTTTCAGCTCTGGTGGAGTAATTGGTATAACAGTAATTTTTCACTTGGGAAAAAATAAAAGCTGGATTAAATTCACAGGAACAAACTTTTTAAAGCTTTGAAGAGTTGGTGTAGCTGATGTTGGTATATTTTAAGGAAAATATTAGTAACCAAGAAGGACATACCATGATGACAAAAGGTGACAAAAAAATGTCAGTTCAACAAAAATATATGAAAACATCGTAAATTTGTAAATACCCAATCATATACTTCTATTATAAATTTTAAAAAGAATTAAGAGGTCACAATAGGCAAGTCCATATTTATAGTTGGAGGGTTTTAACTACCTCTGTTTCTCACGGCAATCATAGGCAGAAAAAAAAAACAGTAAGGGCATAAAAATTTAAACAAGATTAAGAAATCTAATGTACTGATGTGTGGAAACATTTACTCAATTATTGAAAAAGACACATACTTTTCAAGTGAACATGGGATATTATTAAAATTCACCATATGCCTGTGGCACAGAGCTAGTCTACTCAAATTTCTAGTCACTTAGAGTATGTTCTCTGACCACAGTAGAATCCAGGCACAAAAGAATCACAAAAAAATAAAAACAGAAAAGTCACCCAAATATTTTCAAGCAAAACATTTCTAAATTAGCCATGAGTAAAAGAACAAACCACAGTAAAAATTAGAAAATAAGTTTAAATAAATAATAATGAGAATGCCACATATTAATTTCTGGGATACAAAAATAATAATGATAACTTGCAGAACATAACTGAAACAATCTGCTGTGACACATTAAGATTCTTAAATGTATATATTAGAAAAAAGAAACACTGAAAAATTAATAACCTATTCTTTGATATTAAGGAGCTAGGGGGGAAATGCAAATTAAATCCAAAGGGAGTAGAAAGAAGGAAATAATTTTTTAAATGGTAGAAAAGAATGGTATAAAGAAAAAAAATCAACAAACCCAAACATTCGCTCATTAAAAAAAAGCTAATGAAGATTGATAAACTTCTAACAAAAGTGATAAAAAAAAGGGAAAAGACACAAATAAACAATATCAGGAATGCAAAACGTACTACAAACATTAAAATTAAAATTAGGAGACCTCATGCACAACTTTACACCAATACATTTAAAAGTAGAAATAAAATCGGCAAATTCATTGAAAAACAACTTATTAAAACTGATACAAGAATAGAAAATATAAACAGTACTCTATTAAACAAATTGAATTGCTAATAAAATATCCCCACTGCATAATCTGCAGGCCAGATGGCTACATCGATGAGTTCTTCCTCATATTTAAGGAATAAATAATAGTAGTTTATCATAAACTCATTGAGGGATTAGAAACAGAGGGAAGCCCTCTCAACTTGTTTAATGAGGCCAGCATCAACTTGATACCAAACCTGACAAGAATATTCCCAAAAAATTATGGAACAATCTATCCCATAAACAAAGACACACACACCCCATCTTAAGTATCAGGGCAGATAAAACAGGCATGTGGGGTAGAATTATTACAATTATTTTCTTCACATTGTCCTCATTTCATTCTTCAGAAGGAGAGCAACCCTGTACATTTGAGGTAGAAAAGAACTGTCTTGTTTATTGGGAAGAAGGCAGCACAGTAGGCGATGTACCCTTCGGAAGTCACGTATATTCATTAAATCCCAACAGGGAAGTGATGCCCTCTTTTTCGAAATCCATCACAGTACTCTCTATTGGCAGGCCTGCTTTCCAGGCCGGTGTGTGGTAACTGAGTGAAATGGGAGAGGTGGCAGCATCAGTCAGGTGCTGTTAGGCTCAGTCCCAGCTCTGCCATTTGTTGGCAAGGCCAGGTTGGATAAGTTACTTTGTCTCTCCGAGCCTTGGTTTTCTTATATAAAATAATGGGTCAGTAGTGTGTATCTCAAGGTGGTTAAGGGGATTAAATGAGATAATAGATGTGAAAATGCACAGCATAGATTCTGACACATAACGTTTTATATGTACACACAGAGAGAGAGATTCTTTTCTTGAAGCTGGAGATACTGCCTGCATTAGGTACGCATATTGACATGACTCATGCTGCTTAAAGTCACTATGGCTTGCCTTTTTCTATTTATTAAGAGCAATAAATACGTGCCCCTAAAAGATGATAATTTAATGCTGCAGCTACTTGTCATGTGTCCGTGTGTACATCAGATGCATGTTAACAAGAATGCATATGCTGCCTCTTACAACGTGCTAGTTAGAGAGATGATGAATAGACTATTTTGTGGGGAGGTGGGCAGCAGTGTCCAATAATCAATACGAGTGCTCTAGGTACTCCAAAACAAATCAGGGAAAATCTTCTTTTTGAAGAATTGCCTTGACAAAAGTACTCTGGCATGGATCAGATTAAATCACATCATGAAAGTGGCCTTGACTCATGAGACAGCACAAGACGATGAAAATGCTGAGTCAGTAACAAACTGTAGGCTTACATTTCCTTACCTAAGCCAGGCTCCCTGCAACCTATGTCTTTAAAATATCCTTACAGATAAATTTCCTTGCCTGGAATGGACCTTCCTCCTATCCCTGCCTGGAAAACTGTTACTCATCTTCTAAAATCATACATTTATTCAATCAAAAATGTTTACGAAGCCCTTAAAATGCATGAAGTGCTTTCTAGGCACCAGAGTTCTAATGGTGAGTGGAATCAGACCGTGAGCTCATGTTTATGTGCGCAGCCTCTGCAGCCATGGCCCTGTATACAGCTTTCCCTGGTTGCTCCCTCCCTGGTGTTCAGAGCTCTGGGGGTCCACATGGTATTAGAGAACAATCTATGTGTTTACAAGGCTGCCTTCCCAGCCAGGCAGGCAGCTCCACAAGAGGCCGGCCTGAGTCAGTTCATCTTTTCTTCCTCAGTGCACACCTCGGAGACTGACACATAGTGGGCACTCAATAAATGTTTGTTGAATAAATCATTTATTATTCATAAAGCCTTGGTGCAGTCCAATCTGTTAAATGATTCTTCTAATGAACATGAGAGAAATGAAAACAATTACACTCAGGAAAAACTACATATTTTTGAAGTATTCCTTATTTTTTTCCTATTTTATTTGATTTTATTAGCAGCCCTAGCAAGCTGCTTTAAAAATGCTTACAAAGTTAACGTCATTGATTTTTTAAAAGATGCACAGTATAAATATAGGTGAAATTATGCCTGATTAGCTTTTTCGGGTTTAAACTCATGAGGGTTTTTGAAAAAATAATAAAATGAGCTTCTATTTAATTGGAAATAGTTATGTATGTGAATTATTTCACATACCAGATTTGTTAGGTTTCTAATCAACAATATTCATCTAGAAATGGAAAGTGGTAGAAGACATTCATAGAATTTGACTTAACACTGAGGTCTGGTACATCCTTCAAATAGAGATAACATTGTTCATTTAAAAACACTTAGTATAAGGGCCGGCCAAGTGGCTCAGTTGGTTAAGAGCTTGCTCAAGGGTTTGAGCTCTGAGCAACAGCGGTTCGAGTCCAGCCCGAGCTGAGTTGCTGCTGAGCTGCCAACAGGTGGCAGGATGGCTCAGCTAAAAAAAAAAACAAAAACAGTATAGATCTAAAAGTTTCCTGAAGTTTATAAAATTGTGCTGAACTGTCCTTGAAAGATGAATACAAAATAACCTGTTATTATTTGTGCCAAAAAAAGTAGTGCAAGGTGGACTCTAGAGGTTTCAGCAGCATAAATATCAAAGGAACTTTGGAGATAAAGAGATGCAGTTTCCATCTATTTAAATAATTAAAATGTTTAGCCTTTAATCGTCATGCTAAAAATCACATACAAAAGGCCCGAAGAGTGAAAGTATGAAAGTACCTACTTGGTCTGATGTTTAGATCCTTTCAGATGGGCATGATACTGTTCTATGGAGTTTAGAGAGACACTGCAGATGGTACATCTGTAATTGCGCCTCAGACCTGTGGACAACAGACAGATCTGATTAGCTGCATCCTGTTGTCAACCACCTGAATGAATCCTCGAATCTCCAGAAGTTCAGGGATAGAGTATCTTAGAGGTTATCTGGTCCACCCACCACCAACACTTCAATCCGTCCTTCCAGAGCCCAGTGAACAGGCCCGTTAGCAGAAGTATGGCTGTGACTATGTCAGAAGCAGCTTGCTCCATTAACGGGTGAGTGACATTAGAACATGCTATTTGAGGTCAAATGTTTTGGGTGCACTTTGTAACCAAAACAAAGAAACATTCCATTTTTTCCTTAGGGCATATAGACATAGTAAGCTGTGACATCTGTGATGAAACTTGAGACTCCAGAGAAAAACTCTGTCTCAATTCCTCTTCCATCTTTATCCAAAAGCAGAAATTCAACTTTAGACATCATTCCTTTGGGTAATTCTTCCAGGATCATCTTATAAAATGTAAATACCCAGGAGAAGGGTAATATATTAATCTAATTCACATGAAAGCTTACTAATACTTTCCACCAGAGAGTTTAAAAGAAAGTGTTTCATTCATTTGTTCATTCATTTAATTAATTCATGAACAGAATATCAACTTTGGATCAGGCACCAGGGATTCCAAGATGAATAAGACGCTCTTTGCTTTCAAGAAGTTTAGTAGAAACCTGACTCCTTTGTCATATTGACTCACATAGAGTCAAACACATTAGGAAACAGCTTTAACCAAATTTTAAATATTTGCCACAGCTCAGAGACCTACAATGATATTCCTTAGAGACCTACAATGGTATTCCTTCTGCTAGTGTGTCCCATCAGAATAGAGAGAAAAGTAAACTCAGAGTCATGATCTGAAACTTTGGATTAAAATCCTGGCTCCAATTGTTTCTGGTTGTGTGATCTAGGGTAAGTCACCTAATTTCTTCCTGGCTTCAGTTTCCTCATGTATAAGACGAAGACAAGACCACCTACATCAAAGGTAATGTAAGAATTAAGTGAATAAGATACAGTAAAATACTTAGCAAGTGAGAATTGATGTTAATACTTTTTCTCCAAAAGTCTGTCTTGCCATTGCAAAAATCAGGGTATTATAGTTGTAGCATTTTTTTCCCCCTGATGAATGCATAGTATTTTCTTCCTAAGAGACAAAATCATTCTTACTTTCCTATAAAGAAGATAATGCACAGTGTTGGAAGGATTTTGCAAACTGCTACCTGAGTGACTATATACAAATTATTTGACTTCTCTGTATTTCTGTTTCCTTATATGATTTGGGGAGGATGGAATGAGATAAAGCCTATATGAAAGAGTATCTAACACATAAGTGATTAACAAATTAGCTTTTATTATGATTTTAAAGAGATGTTAAAATGGAACCCTTTCTGTCCCAATGTCCCAGACCAAGCCCTAAGTTCAAGTCTTAAGACAAAAATGCTAACTATACCCAAGTTACTAAAGGGAGGTATGAGAGCCCTGGTTCAGGACATCCAAACTGATCAAGAGCCAGTTTCCAACCCTGAGCTCATCATTCACCACCAGCCTAAAAAAAGAGACAGAACAAGGAAAGAAACAGGTAGAGAATTTCTTAAAGGGAGCTATACAGTACTGTGACTTTTACTTACCCTCCCCCATGTGAAATGAGCAAGTCTTATCTCACCTAAACCTTATGGAGAAAGGATTCAATGAGCTACCTAGAGAGCTTGAGGAGCACCTGCTGGCACTTGGGAAGCAGTGCACTGGACTCTTTACACCACCTGCAAGATCCAAAGGGCTAAAGACTATAGCTGGTTAGCTATTCTGATGGCAGAGTAAGACAGGTGTCAGGATTGCACACAGCCTGTGTTCTCAGGGCTTGTCAGAGCAAATGATATGTGCAAGTTTCTCATAGACCACGTTTATAACATGCATGAGAGGAGTTGGTTTGGTGATTGATGTCTTAGATATTGGTGTTGGGGGCAATGAAACCTCAGGAGAACGATGCTAGAGGTGTTTATCCAGATATCTAGGGGTTTAAAGTGACCCCAGAGAAGATATTTAGCTCATATCAAGTAATGCCTAGTTCCTGAAAAAAGCCTTGAAATCCTTCCATTGGAGAAAGAGTCAGTGTGCAACCCGGGCCAAGTCAGGCAGCATCTATGTTAGCTTTGTATAGGTCTCTATCAAGTCAAATTCTATCCCCCTTGCCTTTCCAACCTGACACCCTGCCTCCCTCAGCCCTGGAGGAACCCGGGGCAGTCGGCTGTGGTAAAGGAAGCAAAGCAAAATCCCCGGGGCAGAGAGAAAGAGAGGAGCCTACCACCCTCTTTCCCCACAGCAAACAGCCCAAGCAGAAGTGAGCGGAGAGACGGGGAAAACTAGCTTTGAATAAAGTTTGAAGATGTTTTAAAAATATTTTCCTATCCTAGGTATATCAATTAATGACATATAACTTTTCTATAAATAGGAATGAGAGCAAAGAACTAACTAACTCTTTACAGCTTCAAAGTGAGTGAAAATTCCCAAAACGTACCCCAGTTTGTATCCAAAGGGTAGGAAAAAACTAACTCCACAGATGATTTGAAAGGGCCAGGGAGGGCAGGAATAAGGCTACATTCTGATTACATCCAATGAGACTCTCACTGAATATTGCAGTGTCATCAGAATTATTGTACTTTTGTGTTGATAATGTAACAAAGAGCAGAACTTCCTGGAGACTGTTAAATTATTGTGACCCAACATATGTTTCAGAGAAACCTATTTAACAGTCATATGCTAAGCTGGGCTGGCCAGTTTAAGGACTAACTTGGTGTTTTAGTATCAGTCACATAATTGAAAACTTTTCCCTAATTGTTCATTTAAGAAGAGTCAATTCAGTTATGAAAACAAACAAACAAACAAACAAACAAAAAATCACAGATCTCTGGGGTCTTCTTGGGAAGCAATTGAAGGGACTCAGAACTTTCCAGGCATAGTCTAACAGATCAGAGATGAACAGACAACTGTCGGCTCTCTATTCTCTCAAACAGTGACCCCCAAACTTCCCAGTATGGGCGCATCTGCTGGTGAAGGTGCTAAAATTCAGATTCTCCAGGCACAGCTTCTGAAGATTCCGATTCTGTAAACCTTGGATGGGGCCTGAAAATCTACAAGAAGTTGCAGACTTATAACCCCAACCCCAATACTTTAAAAAGTATTGTCCCATAGTCTCATATGGCTTTTGGAAACTTGAATTTGTCAAAACAATACCAGGTCTTTAAAAAAATGTTATTCCATAAAGAAGAGCTGTGCTTGCATCATATTTCCATTTCACAGGTGTGCATGATTCAGAAAGATTACTGCAGTCACCAAACCCAGAGGCTATAAATTCTCACACCGCGCATATGAGTTGTTTGAATCCCTATCCAGGGTTGAGCCATTCTCCTCTTTTATGCGTGGCATCAGAATATGAAAACCAGCTTCAGTCCTTCTTCCTCCAGATTTCTCTATTAATCCTGTCATAATAAATGTTAACTACTTTTTATATGGGCCCTCTTCAGCCTACTGACTAATCAAAAGTCTCCTCATAAGAAATTGAAGTTCAGCCTGGCAACAGGCATAAATATTTATGTTTAAAAATGGGCATTTTTAAAATTACCAACAAGTCTAAAAAATAAAAAATATTCTGATCTGTTGCTTTCATTACAGTTCTAATGCTCTGCAGCCAAATAGAGGCGTGGGCAGGGCATATTTGGCACTTTATTGGGAGGCAAACTACAGGGAGTATAAACTAGAAAGTCAGTGCATATAATCAAGAACAAAGGCAGAGAAGGGACAGGGGAGTCCTCCCCCACACACGACACAGTGTCCTTGGAAACTTAGGGCTTTATTAATGCTCAGCTGAAATCCTAATTACTTTGGAATTATATGGCTCCTTTTCCCTAAGCGAACTAGAGAATCTTATTAAACAAAAATGCTAAGTTTTTTTATTCAATTCATTTTCAGTCAATAGATATTAAGTATATCCTAAACCTTTGCAGACATTAAGGCTATTTCTGGAGGATTGTCAACATATGTTAGGAAACACAGTCCCTGCCTGCAAGGAGCTGAGAGTTCAGTTGGAGAGAGAAGATATGTATAAAAACAGCAATAGTGTAAGGTAGATCATAAAAAGTATCACATTCAGGATGAAGTAGAATGTTATAGGAACTAGAGGAAGAGATTGTTTCTAGCTCAGAGTCTGGAAACACTTCTTGAAGATGCATCACTTTTGTATTTATGTTCCCTAGCACAGTGTGTAAAACAGATGGTCCTAGAGAGTTTAACAGTATGTGACTGTTCAGTGTGTCTTTTCAAGTCCAGCAAAGCTAGACTTGAGGTCAGCCTGCAACTTTAGTTGTATCCATTCTACATCAGAGAAATATCGTTGTGCCTTTGTTATAATGCCAAGTATTGTGCTGAATGCTAAGAATGTAGGTGAGAATGAAACAGACAGAATATATATATATATATATATATATATATATATATATATTATATATATATATATATATATAATATATATAATTTTATGGAGCTAGTCGGTAGAAAGACAAGAAACAAGTAAACAAATAAAAATTTAAAGATTGTGAAAGTGTCACAGGGTGTAAACAGGATAATGAGAGAGAAACAGGGAAGAAGGGTGATTTTGGATAGTATGGTTAACAGAGTTCTCTGAAAAGTATGAAATGAAATCAAATGGACGAAAATTAAGTGCTGATGTCAACAACTAGCTAATGAGTAGTCCAGGGAAAGTAAACAGCAAGCATAGAAGTCCAGGAGTAGAAATAGTCTTCAATGAATAAAAAGTGATAAAAGAAACAAATAAACTAAATGAAACAAAATGTCCCACCCAGAATTCAATATCCAGGAAAAATATCCTTTAGAATTGAAAATGGAATAAGAACATTTTCAATAAAATCTGAGAAAACAGTTTTCCAGCAGACCTATATTATAGAAATACTTATAAAGTCCTTTAGGTAGAAGGCAAAAGATATCAAATGTAAACT